AGAGAGGGAGACGGCAAAGACGGTGCCTGTTTGGCGGCTGTACCGCGACGTGGCCAGTATGAACATGCATGCTTCGCAAGATTATCCGTGTTTGTTGTTGGTTCAAATATTTTCGGAACTTGCGTTTATTTTAACAGACTAGGAAGTCGCATGCTCCCCTCTTGAATTCCCTTCCCTCTTTGATAGAAAGGAAACCAACCTCAATTGAGGTTTTAATCAATGTTAGAAGACCAACTTCAACAGAAATCATCGGATGATTATAAAAATAATGACAATTATCTTACTCGTAGTATCTAATTAAGTGCACCTTATTTGACGCAGCCTTGCCGCCTTCGTAGAATACCTCTGTATTCTAGTCCTTATGTTTATATCGTCAGAAGTTCGTACTTGATCCCTTGCTAATTTCACTGACTTGTCCAGTCTGGCCCATTGGAAATACGTGATTTACGTAATGGTTAATTCAGTTACATAACTGTAGGATGTCCACGCCAATATATCTGGTAAGTAGTTGAAATTAATATAAATTTACCTCTGGCACCTATGTAAGTTAGAATGTCGGAAGAACGTTTCTCCCACATTTTGCCGCTGCAATAAACAGTTACGCATTGACTGACTTTTAGGAGTATTCGCGAGCGAAGTGTGATTAGGAATTTTTGGACTACCATTGCTCTTTCTTTCAATCGCGAGTGTATCGACATAAAGGTTTGGGGAAAGAACTTCCCGAAAACGAAAAATTTTGATTCGGTCCTATTTTATAGTATTCCCTTCAATTGCGGATAAATCTTTCGCCTTTTACCAAATTAACTATATGTGGCATGTTATATGCTAGGTCATTCTTAGGAAAACCGACTTAATAACTGTCTTAATAGCTGACTTAATAGCTGTCCGGCCGAAGGTATCACCGACGCGTGACACCACCAGAAGCAGCCGCCTAGACGAAGCTATCGTGGTAACGGTAATTCCGCGTGCCAATTAACATCGCTGACAAAATCTACACAATTGGATATGCCACCGAAATATAAATATAGTAAACGTGACTCCTGAATTAGCGGAAATGGGGTGTTAGATAAAGTAATGGCTAAGATGGATGCTACATAAAGCTGGGTTCGGTAATTAACCGAAGTTAAACACGCCTACATTTACAAAGTAAGTAGACGGGCATTATTTTTACGGGTGACACAATGTGCCCTTGCTAGCAAAACCAAATGAGTCATTAGTCGAATAGTTAACAGGGCATTTTGTCTTTGAGATCCATCATTTTGCGAGATACATTTATTTGCAGTTCCACCGTCGCTTTCAATAAGGTCAAACGTTGTTACACTACAGTCATATCCAGGGTCCTGCTCGAAACGAAAGTGCTTTTGCGCCCCCCATGCATATACGTAGGTCGTTCGCTAGACAGGTCTGCAGAATCTCAGAAGGATGACTGCTCCTCACTTTTTGCAAGTACCTCCAATATTTTCTATTAATATTCATCTTTTTATACTTTCATTATAATTTTCTGCAACCGTTGCTACAGACAACAGAGCATGAAAACAAGCAGTCCTTTCCCATTTGCCCGCAGGCAGCATTATCTCCAAGTATTATGAAGTTTCACTGGGCTTTACAGTTTTTGAAGTCATAAATAATGCTTATTAGAAGTGTACATTGGTCCGAATTGCTTATAAGGCCCCAATCAGCTGGACATTAGAATAGGAACACCCCTCCCTCCATGTAATACGGTAGCCTTAAGATAAATTCCCGAAGCGTTAAATGTTCCCGTGTCCCAACTCCAGCACTAATCCTGACA